TTTTTAATAAAGAAATGAAATGAAATTTTTGCTGTGTCTTTTACTTGATTTCCCCCCTGTCCACTTTCAACTATAAGAGGAGTCCGCGTGAGCACGCACTCGTAGTTGACCATTTGGCCGAGTGGCCTAAAGCGTCAGTACCTCGAGCGGAGAGCACGGGTTCGAATCCCAGTCACAGCCGTTTTTTCTGGAAGCCCCTGCGCGGTATGCAACTGATAAGAAGGGATCGGGTGGCCGAGACATCCGGTAACCGAGGTGACCGGGGGGGAGGCAAGGTGGTGACCGGAAAGTGTGACCGTGGGCCCGTTATACTACTTCTGTTTTAGGCGGAAGGAAAGGGAGCGCGGTCTTTCTCTTATATTCCCTGTAATTTTGTGTAATTTTGAAGGTGTTGCTCTTATAAAGCTGATAAGTCCATATTTTGAATAAAAATGTTTTTGTTTTAGGCGGAAGGGAGCGCGGTCTTTCTCTTATATTCGGAATTGAGACCTTGGAGTTTTGTAGTTTCATTGCTTATTTCAGTCGCAAAATACCCTGTAGCACCTTAGCAGATGGAGAGACACCAGGACAGACGAAATTTTGGCTCCAAGGGTTCCATAGTATGACTCGTGACAAATCTGCCGTATTTTCCGAAATCTTTTTTGTACTTGTAAAATCTTGAGCCAGAGGACGCATATCTAATGCAGTTTTGTATTTTTTTCAAACAAATCGACCCTGGAAGTACACCCTGCCCTGCAGGTTCTGGTTATTTTGTTCTTGGTGGTTCTTGAGATATCATCGTGATCAGGGTTGTTAAAGTTACAGTAACGCAGTAACGAAGTTACTGTAACGCGTTACTCGTTACTGTAACGATAACGATAACGCGTTACATTTTTGTATGGGCTGTATCGGTAACGCGTTATCGTTACCCTCGTCAGTAACGAGACGTAACGTCGATACATTTTACTCGTTACATGGGATATATTTGACAGATAAACTTAATTCGTTGATGGTGATGCGAAGGGAGTTAAAATTTAAGCGCTCTGCAGCAATCGTGCAATATTTTCCCGTGAACACCACGGAGCCGAAGGGGTGGGGGGTCAGGTCTTATATTATGACTTCTCAGCATAGCTGGGCGCGGCGCTTAGGGCCGCTGGACTGCGGCGCGGGACTGGGAGAGGGAGGAGGGGATGTTGTGACTCCCCGCGCTGGCTCGCTGGCCGAGGAAGTGCGGTATGGTGACAAGGAGACCGCACCGCTTCGTATCAGCGCCAGCCTCCGGCCCAGACATATGAGTCAGCCGTAGGTCAGCAGTCCTTTTGCTCTCCTTACCGCCACCGGCGTGTTGCCTGGTGGAGTGGTGGAGGCAGGCTAGGCGGAAGGGTAAGAGGGTAAGGGCAGGAACAGCAGGTGACAGCTTCCTTCGGTCACATTTGATTCAGTCAGTCACTGCAGTGCGTCGCCTCCGTTTCGCTCCGCCGAACTTCTCTAGAGTCGAGGGGGAAATGACTAGGGGACACAGCGTACGAGTTATTTCAACGTTTTTCGGTTATTTCGCGGTATTTGGGTGGTATTTCGCGACTATTTCGCCATTATTTCGCATTTATATTGCGGGAGGTGTAAGACATATTTCGCATGTAATTTCCCCCTTGTCTAGAACATTAAAAAGTGTTGCTGTCTTTACTAGATTTCGTTGTATACAACATTAAGAAGAATATTTCTACAAGAAATTTGGCTTCAGTTAACATGCTTTTTTACGTATAAAATACCCTTTATTATACATTAACACCTTAAAACTGTTTCTTTATAGAAATTTTTAAAAAATATTAATTTGATGTATCGAGTAACGAAGTAACGACGTTACCACTAACGTAACGCGTTACAATTCTCCGAGGGCTGTAACGGTATCGGTAACGCGTTACCGAGGGCAGAGTAACGAGGTAACGGTATCGCGATACATTTTCAAAGTAACGTTAACAACCCTGATCGTGATCACGATACCGAGCACCATGCAGAGATGATTGGACGTCGAAACAAATACGCACAATTTTTCTGTTATCAGCTGGTATAGCGTGTTGCCTCTCCGTTACCCTTTTCAGGCCAGCCGGACGATAGGAGACGCACTGAGCCGCATGGTGGTGGCTGGACTCCCAGCAGAGAACATTTGGCTCATCGGACACTCCCTTGGCGCACAAATGACAGGAGTCGTGGCGCAGAACGTTGACTTCCGCTTTCAAAGGATAACAGGTGACATTCCAGGATATCAAGCCCATTAAAAAGTAAAATTGTTTTTAGCCCGCCCTTCTGCTTTGAAAAAGCTATCCAGCGGGCTTATGCAAACGACCTCGTGTGTGTCTGTCTGTCTGTCTGTGTGTCTGTCTGTCTGTTCCACTAGAAGGAGATGTGCTAGAGAGTTGAAATTTTCAGGGTATCTTAAGGTCCACTCCTAGAGAACGAAACGCCTACGGCAAATCCTGGCAACCACCCCTAACGGGCTAAAAGGGGGTGTCAAAGAAAATAAGGTAGGTCAAAAAAGTCAGAAAAAAATATATTTTTTTGTGATCTCCTAAGGGGTAACTCGTCAAAGTAGAACCCTATGAACGAAAATTTTGCCCGTTTTGCTCTATCTCTCACCGTTTGGGCGCTAGAGGAAGTTTCTATCACGAAAGTGGCCCAAAAATAAACATATTAATTTAAGAAAATATTAGATGGTCTCCTAAGGGATAACTTGCAGAAGTAGAGCCCTCTGGGCGAAAATTCCGTCCGTTTTGCTCTATCTTCTACCGTTTGGGCGCTAGAGGGAGTTTCTCTCACAAAAGTGGCCCAAAAATAAATTTATTACTTTCCGAAGATATCGGATGGTCTCCCAAGGGGAAACTTGTTAAAGTAGAGCCCTTTGGGCGAAAATTTTGTCCGTTTGGCTCTATCTCTAACCGTTTATGCGCTAGAGGGTCTTGTTTGACGAAAATAATTTAAAAATTGCTGTAGTGAACAATTAAATGTAAAAGAAGGCCCAAAACCGCAAAAGAGGTAAGAAACTCCCTCCCCCCACCCCAAAAAACGTTTTCTAAGCAGAAGGGTGGGTTGTAGTCGCGGTGTTTCACCGTTACATCCCTTTCTTGTGTCTACGGGGCCAATTTTCAAGGACGACGGGCTTTGCGGGCCGAAGGCCCGTTACATCATTTGGTTATGTTCTACAGCAAATCGCGTGACTGAAATGGTCGGGCCGCAGGCCCGACCATCGCCGCCGGCAGGCCAAGCAGGCCCGGCCCCTGCCGAACGGAGTTGCCGGCGCAGCGAAGCGAAGGTGGCAACTTCGTTTGGCGGAAGGGCGGGCCTGCTTGTTTGTGTTTTGATCCGCAATGACAGGAACAACATTAAATGGTTGCAGAGAATCCACAACCTAGAAAAAAATAAACAGTTAGAGATAATTGTGGTAAGATCACACGCCAGTGGTTAAAAGGCAATTAATTACCTCTCCAAGATCACAGGGAGTATGACGGGTAGCAGCTCGAGAAACAAAACCAGGAGACTGTAGATCCTAGTCGTTGGCTCCGAAAAAAACAAGCGTAACTCTGCCAGTGCCGGAGAACAAGAGTAACTGG